TTCATCAAAATTATTTTCATCATTTTAATTCAATTATTATTTTCTAGAATTTGAAATTATTTTTTATGAAAATAATAATTGAATTCCTGTGAAATTTTTATTATTTATGAAAATAATTAAATGTTTACATACAATTTTATTAAATTTCTTTTTAAATAATTAAATTCGTTTTGGGAAATTATATTAAAATCTGAGATATTGAAATTATTAAATATTAAATCATAGAAATTATTTATTTATTTATTTATTCAAAACACGAAATTAAAAAATTTTTCGAAAATAATTGAAATTAGGACAAGAATTTTTTTTGACATTTATGAAAATAATTGAACTTTGGATAAGAATTTTGTTATTTACAAAGGTAATTTGGATTTTTACAAGAATTTTTTTTAAATTTTGAACATAGTTGAATTTTATAAAAAAGATTTTTTTTTATTTGAAAATAATAGAATTTCTGCTATTACTTGTAATTTTTCCAAAATTGAATTTTTTTGCAGTGTTTTTAACAAAAATTTAAATTAGAAAATTTTTAAATTCCATTACTTTTAAAATTGCTAATTTTATTTCAAAAAGGCGTGAATTGTTGCTAGTAATATTTATTTGCAAGAAAGAAAATTTACTAGAAATTTTATAGTTGTACCTACTTTTTGGGTATTAAATTTAATGAGCGATTTTATTTTCTCTCGAAATTATAGTTTTGAGTAGGACTTTAAGTACGGAAGGTTCTAATTTTTATTGAGGATTTTAGGGACTATTAATTTTAATTATTATGAATTTTCTAATCGATTGTAAATTTCAGATTTTTTTAATACTAGGCGAATTTTAGTTTCTTAAAATATCTATGGATTTTGTTTTTTTTATACTTTGTGAATTTTTGTTTATTTTGCTCTGTGGATTTTTTGTTTTTTGTACTTTGTCAACTTTTTGCTTTTTATACTCTAGACGTTTGTTTTCTACCCACCGTGAATTTTAATTTTATATTCTTTGTAAATTTTCGTTTTTTTATACACTCTGGATTTTTTTATCCTTTGTAGATTTTAGTTTTTTATATACTCTGGATTTTTTTATACTTTGCAGATTTTAGTTTTTTATACACTCTAAATTTTATGTTTTTTTAATACTTTTTGGTCTTTTATACACTCTGGACTTTATTTTTTTATACTCTGTGGATTTTAATTTTTTATATTCTGTGAATTTTAGAGTTATTTTTGAAATTATTTGCAAATATCGATTTTAAGGTACTATTAATTTTAAGTGTAATGGATTTTATACTCGTAAATTTTGGTTACTATTAATTTTAATGTTCACCTGCGAATTATAATTTCAGTCTATTTTGGGTACTATTAATTTTATTTACTGGCAAATTTAGTTACTATATCGATTTTAATTGTCAAATTTCAATTTTTACTATTGACTTTAATAGTTACTGTTGAATTTATTTACTATCAATTTTATTTACAAACGAATTTTAATTGATTCTTAAATTTTTGTTCTTATTAAAACTATGAAAAATAATTCCGGAAAAATTCACATATTTTATTATTATGTTATTATATTTATTATTATTATTTTATCATTATTATTACTATTATTAATTTAAATTTACTATTTTTTTAAAATAAAATTTTCTAAAATTGACTACTTGCTTTAAATGAAAATTTCCAAAATTTAATATTTTATTTCTTGTAATACTTGCTCACTAATTAGGAACTTTATTATTTAAATGATAAAATAAAGGGATCAAAATAATTTATGGTTAATGGGAAAATATATCAGTTGATCAGACAATATATTTGTCTTCTCTACAAACAACCAAATGGTGTCTATAGATCTTATCAACCAGATATTCCATTCGGATAATATGAAAGAAGTTAATAAAAAATACGTAAATTGAACATTTAAGGAAACAAAAAATATGTCAATTTATCTGATAATAAAATAATTTATTTATATACAAATAAAATATATTTTATTCATTTGTCTATTAATAATTCGAGAGTAAATGAATCTTTTTATATTTATGTAGAAAATAATTTATAATAATTAATAATAATTTAATAATAATTTAATAATAGTAATAATAATAATAATAATAATAATAATAATAATAATAATAAAAATAATATAATATTAATAGTAACATAATATTAATAAATAAATTAAAATAGTATAATTATAATCATTTAATAGTGATGTATTTTAAAAGTATTCTTCTTTATTTATTTTTTTTTTTTTTGTGAAAATTGTATAATTTTATGGCCGTTTGCGGGTTATATGTTTATGAAACCGCTAATACCCAGAAAAAATGAACCCTCTGTGAACTGTATATATAATATATTCCTGGGGAAAAGTTGCAACTATATAGTTATATATTTCATGCTATTTTACTGATAATTCCATTAAAGAGGCAATGGTCGCATGAAATATTACTGAAATAACAATAATTTTTCCCCTATACATTTATAGTTTAATGTAATAGGACTATTTTCACGATAAATTTTTAACGTTCCAAATTTCTGAGAGAGAAAATTACCATTTCGACTGGAAATAAAACATATAAATGCCATTTAAAGATAACAATAGTGATTTATTTTTTTTTTGTTTTTTGCATTATTAAAAAATTAAATTTATTGTAGGAATAATTTTTATACTTGAATCAGAAAAATAGTAATAATTGTTTATTTCTTATTTAAAGACAAATAAATTTGTCTTTTTATTTTTAATATTTATTTGTTTTAAATAAACTTCGAAATAATTTATTAGTCCTAATAATTATTATTTCCTATTATTATTTACTTTTTATAATTTTTATTTTTTATTATTTTCTATTGTTTTTATTGTTATTATTTTCCAGTTTCATTTTTCATAATTTTTAATTTTTACTATTCAGATTGTTTATTATTTTTATTTGTTAACATTTTAATTTTTTGTTATTTTTCAGTTTTCTATTATTTTTATTTCCGACTATTTTTATTTTTTTTCTATTGTTATTATTAAGATATTATTTATTTATAACTATGTTTTGTAAAAATAACTCTTATTTTTCCGCGAAAAAAGACAAAAAGTGATTCGAAATAACAAAAGGTTGAAATTATTTAACAAACGTAAGCTGTTACATTTCCCCTGTTTGTACGAATTTCGCTTCAAGTACTCGGTAATATTGTTCGATGCAATCATGGATAATAAATTCATTGGGTATGGTGTATTCCGAGAAAAGCAGTTCAATGCAAAATAATTTATTCAAATTAAATTACTTATTCAACAATTAATTAAATTAATTTTATGTTGTCATGTTTTCAATACAATTTGATTAAAAATTATTTATTTATAAAAAACATCTAAGAATGTAAAAAAATATTTTTATTAAAGTTATTAACCATTATTATTGTTATTAATAATAATAGATAATAAATTTAGTAATAATAATAAATAAATAAGTAATAAATAATAAAAATTAAAATAATAAAAACAATATTAACAATAATAATAATATTTTTTACAATATTACAATTATTGTTAATTCTTATTCATATATTACAGAATATTTAAATATTTATGAAACTTGCAATTAGTTTAAGGAATTTTGCACTTAAAAAAAATCCACAAATTATGAATTAGTGAAAAAATATTTTAATTTTGTTTTTTAATAATAAAAAAAGGTATAGAAGTCTTGTGAAGTCTTGTGAAATAATGTAATAAAACGAATTATATTGTTCAAGGAAAATATAAAAATGAATTTCCGGATATAATAAATCGTTTATTATTGAAAAACAGAGAAAAAAATCTTATAAACTTCTTGGAAAATTGAGACATGAAAATCGAAATCTTTGTGGAGAAGAAAAATTTTAAACAAAAGGAAACGTAAAAAAAGAACAGTAATAATTGTTTTGGTTTTTGGAATTAAATTTTCGTTTGAAAGCAAAAATTCATTAGGCTAACGGTAATAAATTTTGGTTACAATGAAATTTTGTTTGGAAATTAAATTTGAGTTCAAATCGAATTTTGATTAGAAGCAAATTATGGTGAGAATCAAATTTTAGTTGGAATTTAATTATTTCTTGGCCTTGGCTTTCAAGGTAAAATTTCTTAGTTCTAATTAAATTTTGGTTAGAAGCAAAGTTTTTTTTTCTTGGGATTTTTTAATTTATAACAAATTTTTTGTCTAAATTTTCGGTTTTTAAAAATTATTTTTGTTTAATTTTAATTTAACAAAATTTATTTTACCGCTGCAATTAAATTTTCATTAGAGACAAATTCGTTATTTGAACGAATTGTGGATTTTGATAAATTTTACTTAATATTTATATGGTTTAAAATTAGTTTATAACTTTTAATTAGTTAATTAGTTTTGCTATAGGTGCAATTAATGAAAATTTCAGACTAAGAGAACAATTGTTTTTATAAAGATAACTTTGTTTTGAATAAGTCACATGTTTTCTCGCGAGGCTATCAAATTTAATTTTTTTTTCTGTTTTGAACTAAATTTTGTTTGGAACCGAATTTTTTTCGTTCTAAAGAATATTTTGCTTGAAACAAACCTTTGGCTCTGAACAATTTTTTGGTTTCAAATAAATTTTTTTTTTTAGTTTCAAACAAAATTTTAATTCGAACCAAATTTTGTTTCGCTCTAAACAAGATTTTCGGTTAGAAACAAATTTATTTCTTTTTTTTCTGAACAAAGTTTAGGTTGAAACCAATTTATGGTTGAACTATTATCGTTGAGCTAATTTATGGTTTAACTAAATTGTCGTTGAGCTAATTTATAGTTGAACTAAATTATCGTTGAGCTAATTTATGCTTTAACTAAAATTATCATTAAACTAGGCCTCTAGTTGATATAAATTATCGTTGAATAATTTACAGTTGTCATAACTATAAATATTGCATTAAACCAAATATTTTCCTCTTGTTCTGAACCAAAGTTACTTGGGACTTAAATTCGGAAAAAAAATCATCATCACTGAGGGGGAAAAATTAAAAAGAAATAAAATAAAACTCACCATGATAGTAAAGTGCACCAGATGCATTTAGAGGTGGAGGACTGGGAGCAGTGGCCCCAGCAGTGGGACTATGTGGGCTCCAACAGGTCTGTGTTCCTTGTCGATTATTATCAACATCGCCAACAACATCGATTTCCTCCTCCTCAGTCTCACTTCTATCCCTCTTCTCCTGGAGATTGACCTGGTCGCCAATAAGACCTCTCCCAACTGATGCAGCAATACCATCCGCAGCAACAATTTCCTCATCCAATGTCTCACTATCCTCGACCCTGTCCGGCCACGGATACGCCTTCCATTTCTTTGCCATCAAACACCTAGGCATCGTTGATTTTTTCCTCTCCCCGAACTTAATGATTTCTGTTTCTATTAATGATGCTCTAAAGTAATGATTTCTTTTTCTGCTGATGCTCTAATGTAATAATTTTTTTTTCTGTTGATGCTATAATTATTCCTCTCTCTGTTAATACTCTTTAGAAATGATTCCTCTTCTCATTAATGCTCTTTTAAAGAAATTATTTCTTTTCCTGTTGATGCTCTTCTGTTCTGTTCTCTTTGCTCTTTCTGTTACTTTTAAAGAAATGATTCCTCTTTCTGTTAATGATTTTAAAGAAATGATTTCTCCTTCTATTAACGATCTTTAAAGCAATGATCTGAATACTGAACTTCTTGTCAATAAGGTTGTGAAGCGATCTGTTAAAGTAATGATCTTCTTTGGTAGCAAAGATCTTTTAAAGAACTGATTAAAAGTACTGGTAGGTCCAGTAGCAAAGATCTGTAGCAAAGATCTGTTAAAGTAATGATTCAAAGTACTGGTCTTCTTTTAATGCAATGATTCCTCAAAGTACCGATCCGATAAGCAATGCTCTAAAGTACTTGTTTAGAAAAGCTGATGTTTTAAAGTAACGAAACTTTAAAAGTAATGCTAATAATAGTTGGTGGTTGTAATAATAAATGATGTTGATGATAATCGAGGGTTGAAGACTCAGGTCACGCGGCAGCGCATACACCAAGCGCAGCAACAGGATGAACGACAGCAACAGTACGTTCAGCAACAGGAGCGCCTTCGACGCCGGCGTCTACGTCTCGCACGCTTCCTCACACTAAAGGGTAACTTCCACTGACAACTCGTGGCCGGCTCCCAGGTCGAGGGTCGCCCTTCGAATATCGTCATCGGCACTGAACACTATCCCCAATTCCCGCCACCATTTTTTTTTTACTTTTGGCCCTTCCCCCTATTTTTTTTTTTTGTTTTCAAAAAAGTGTCAATTGGACAAACTATAATACATTCACTTTTTTTCCTCGTTAAGTAACGGAAACTTGATTTTCGTTTGGTTATTCGCTACTTTCGTTATATTCGCGAATTTTCTTCTTGTGGATTAGTTTTTTTCTTTGGTGATTGTTAGAAATGAAGATTGAAAGGGAAGGGTGAAAAGAGAATTAGAGAGAGAGTGAGAGAGAGTAGGAGGAAAGAGAAGAGAAGAAAATAGTAAAAGAAGAAAAATCCTTGTAAACTGGCCCCGTGGTGGCCCTTGCCAGGGATGGGCACTAATAACGCGGAATGGGGCGCGACTGCTTAGCGGTGGCGCTCTCTCGACACTCGGTACCCCAATGTTGCGTCTCACCCCTCTACTGCGGCTGTGCACCCTCACGGTCTATGCAAAGAGTGGTGGTGAGTGTAGTGGTGGAAATCGTAGTGGTAGTAGTGGATGGTAGTAGTGGTACAAGTATAGCAATAGTGGCAGTGAGCTAGCGTACAGCAGTAGTGGTGAACTACAGACAGGAGGGTGTCGATCCCGCTGCGGGGGAGCCGATTGTATGCACAAATGTTGTTTCGAAGGTGTTGGTGAGTTTTCTCGGTGGTAGTGGTGGTGGTAGTGCTCCTGGTGGTGGTGGAATGGCAAAGGGTCTCTCGTTTTCAGGGGGGGGGAGAACGACAGAGGGATAGCGCACGTCTCTGTTTCGTGCTCCCTACATTTACAAGTGGGGCTGAAAGAAGAGAGAGAGAGAGAGAGGGGTGATTTTACACGAGAGGGACGAAGGGTTGTTCGTTTTCTCTCTTATTCTTGTTAGGCGAGGGAGTTTTCTCTCTTACTCCATGTTCCTGAGGTATTTATCTCTCTTACTCCTTTCACCCGGGGCATTTGTCTCTCTTACACCTTTTGGCAGATGTATTTTTCTCCCTTACTCCCTTTAGTTTCTGCTGCTGTCTTCCTTTCTCCTTTTGGCAGATGCATTTTTCTCCCTTAATCCTTCTAGTTTCTGCTGCTGTCTCCCTTTCTCCTTTTAGCTGAGGCGGTTTGCTCTGTTACTCCTTTTACTTTAGAGTGCTGTCTCTCTCTCTCCTTTTACCCGAGGCGTTTTTCTCTCTTTCTCTTCTTAGCCGACGTTTTCGTCTCTCTTGCTCCTTCTAGCCGAGGCGTTTTACTCTTTTGCTTCTTTTAGCCGAGGCGTTTTTCTCTCTTACTCCTTTCAGCCGAGGCGTTTTTCTCTCTTACTCCTTTCAGCCGACGCTTTTGACTCTCTTGCTCCTGTTACCCGAAGCGTTTTGTCTCTCTTACTCCTTTTACCCGAGGCGATTTTCACTCTTACTCATTTTACTCGGTGCAGTTTTCTCCCTTGCTCCTTCTACCTGATGCTGCTATCCCCCCTCTCTCCTGTTACTCGAGGCATTTTACTCTTTCTACCTGATGCTGCTGTCTCTTTTACTCTTTTTAGAAGAGAGATAAATATTCTCTCTCTTTTCAAAAGACGCGCACCCATTTCTCTTACTCCTTTTAACATCATCTCTCTCTTAACTTAACCCAACTTTCTTACTCTTTCTTTTCGAAAAGAGAGAGGGAGTTGTATTTCTCTCCTTTTTTTCTAAGGGAGAGAGAGAGGAAGAAACATTCTTCTTTCTTCATCCTTCAAACAGATGCACCCATATTTCTTACTCTTTTCCTAGGAGGGAGAGAGGAAGAGTAGAGGAAATACGGAGGAAAGAAAGAGGAGGGAAGCATCCTTCTTTTTCACTCCTTCAAACGGAGAGACCCATATTTCTTACTCTTTTTCTAAGAGAGGAGGAGAAGAGGAGAGAAACATCCTTTTTTCTCTCTTCTTCAAACGGATGCTTCCGTATTTCTTATTCTTTTCCTAAGAGAGAGTAAGAAACGAGGGGAAGTGGAGGAAAGAAGAAGGTAGCCAATGAGAGGGAAAGAGGAGGGAAGAAAAGAGGGGTAGTGGAGGAAAGAAGAAGGTAGCCAATGAGAGGAAAAGAGAAGGGAAGAAAAGATGGGTAGTGGAGGAAAGAAGAAGGTAGCCAATGAGAGGGAAAGAGAAGGGATGAAAAGAGGGAAAGATGAGGAAAGATAAGTGTGGGAAGGAAAGAGATAGCTAAGGAGAGAAAAATATGGCTAATAAGTGAAGAAGATCGAAACTGAGTGATGAAAGGAGAAAGAAGAAAAGAGGGAGAGAGAGGAGTAGAGATAAGTGAGGAGATGAGTGTGAGAGAGACAGTTGGGGAAAAGAGACAGGAGGAAGAAAAATAGTGAGTGGAAGAAAGATAGGCAGTGAAAGAAGGAGAGATTATGAGTGAAAGCAAGAGGGAGAAAGAGTAAAGGAGAGAGAGAGAGAGAGAGAGAGAGAGAGAGAATCAGGGGTAAGGAGACAGAAACCAAGTTATAGTAAGAGTAACGAAAAGAGAGTGAGTGAATGAGGGAGAGAGAGTGAGTAAGAGTGTAGAGGAGAAAAAAGGGGTATAGGGGAGAGAAGGAGAAAGAAAAAGAGAGAGACAGCAAGAGTGAAAGAAGTAAAGGAGAAAGAGAGAGAGGGAGTAAACAGAGGAAAAGGAAGGAGAAAGTGTGAGGAAAGGAGAGAGGACGATTGAAGAAGGTAAAGAGAGTCTGTAGGAGAAAGAGAGAGAGAAAGAGAGAGGCTGTAGGAGGAAGAGAAAGAGAAAACTAGTGAGGAAGAAAGAGAGAGTCTTTAGGAAAGAGAGAGAGAGAGAGAGAGAACGAGTGAGGAAGAAAGAGAGAGTCTGTAAGAGAAAGAGAGAAAACGAGTGAGGAAGAAAGAGAGAGTCTGTAGGAGAAAGAGAGACAGAGAGGGAAAACGAGTGGAGAAAAAAGAGAGAGAGAGTCTGTAGGAGAAAGAGAGACAGAGAGAAAGCAAGTAGAGAAGAAAGAGAGAGAGAGAAGGAAGGCGAGTAAAGTAGAAAGAGAGACTCTAGGAAAAAGCGAGCAAGAGAGAGAAAGAGAGAGAGAGAGAGAAAGCGACTAAAGAAGAAGGAGAAGAGAGAATACGGCACGCCAGCACATGCGCAGGGGTGAAACATCGACCCGACCAGGCAAGGCAACACCTGGTAGTGCCCCACGTGCCACACTGTAGGGAGGCAACGCCACTCTGTCTCTCTCTCTCACTCTCTCTCAAATACGAGTATCGAATATCCCTCACTATATGGCCTTTAAGCTGACTGTGTGTCTACTGACCCACGCCAATACGATACGATCTCTCCTTCCTGCGCCTTTTCACATTATTTCCTCTACAGGGCTCATGTCTTATGCAGATTTTCATCATTCCTGTATTAATGACTTGATATTAGCCTCCTGTTTATAGAATAAGGGGGAAGAATTAATAGAGTGGCCCCTTTTTTCTGTGTGTCTACTACTTTCATGAATTTATGAATTTTGATTTCAAATCTAGATTATTATTATCTTTTTTCTTTTTTTTTTTTTGACAAATTAGTTCCACTAGAAAAATTTTTATAGAGATGAACTGCAGGGGGTTCCGATATTTTGTGTATAGCATTACCGAATAGCATTCCTAATGGTGGGGGCTTAATACTAAAATACCAATAATTGTAATTTTATTCAATTGTATTCGAAATAATGACTATCGAGATGGGTATTTTATCAATTATTGCAATTTGTATTAATTGTAATGTCACTTTGTTCGAAGACAATAATATGAACAGTTTTCATCGTTATATTACTCATAATAATAATTTGTATTTTCTGTTATTGTTAGCAAACATATTTGGTACTAATTACAGTTAGTTTCATCTTAATAAAAATTGGTATCCAGTATTAAAAATTAAACCGTAAAACTGAATAAAAATTCGTTTTCGTTGTCATAGAAGTAAAAATTAGTGGTTTATATCAACAGTTATTTCTTTTTATTAGGAACGATGGTTAGTAGTTTGATATGGTTAGAAGTAAAAATTAGTAGTATCGATCATTAATCGAAATTTATTAATAGTTCTGTATTTTAGTTCCTATATTTTTGAAGGGGAATTTTTTTTCTTTTTGAAACTATCTCTCATAAAAAAAAGCACGCGCTCAATAATTATTTTTTTCTCACCTACCATTTTTTACCATTTCCTAAATTCTACTATTATTTATATTCATAAAATAATAATCAAGGAAACTTGAATTTATATAACACCTAACATTGAAATAATCTACACGAAATAATTTTCATTTTATTACGATTTATTTTTAACTAAGATTAATCGACTAGCCATGAAAATTATGGCCAATGTTTCAAAAAAATAAAAAAAAAGGGTGACAGGACCGGTGCTACGTTCTCTCGAATCATTATATATATTATAAATATAAAGGGACACAAAAAAAGCGTTACGAAAAAAAAGGGGGAGGCAACCTAAATGGACTGGAAATTTCGTTACGAAGTGTTTGCTTGACTTTTAAAGAGTCTCCCTTTTCGATGTACAAAAGATTCTTTTGAAATTCTTTTGATAAATAGAATATTAAGTAGCACATCGAGAATATACACACGGACACACATTTATACAAACAAGGAGGCAATAAATTAAAAAAAATGGCAGAAAACTTTTTTCCGCATTTTTGTGTATCAATTTTTCGGTTATTATTATTTATGTACAAAACTATTTCTTTCAATTTATTCAGGTTGGAGGGATATAAATTTGTATTTCACCAGTCTATTTTTTTTAATATAGAAAATTAGAAAAAGGCTATAATTTACAAAAAAAGTAGTATTTTTTTCTTCTTACAAAAGAATAGTTTTTTTTGGAAACGTATGATGTAATTATTTTTTCGTATCTGCATTTTTATATTTGTGAAATGGAAAAATCTACCGACGGCAATAAAGTAAAAAATTCCATCTATTTATTAAGAATGAGAGGGAAAAAAAAGAACTTACCTACCGCCCAGGAAATGGGATTTCTACCGAAATAATTTAATTTAATTGAATTCAAAAACAGACTTTTAATTTAATTAAATTTTAAATTCGAATTTGAATGTAATTAAAAAATTGAGTTTGCATTAAATTAAAAAATAGAGTTTGAATTAAATTAAAAAATGGAGTTTTGAATTAAATGGAAATAAAAGGATTGAATTTTAAAAAAAAACAGATAATTTATTCCCATAAAAAATATAGAAATTCAATTAAAGAATCTTGGGAGGAAATGATCGGGAAAAATATATGAGTAAATGGAAGATAACTGGACTCATCAATGAAATCGATAAGTAGACTCTGATTGTTAGAAAATGGTATCAGAGGCGCAAGCTTTCGCGTTCTTGAAAACCCCCAGCTCTCATTTTCTCCCTCTCTCTCTCACTCTATCTATATACAATCGCACTGCGGGCTTTAAAATCCGATCTTCAACACTATATAGCATTCATCCAGTTCCTTCTAAAAGTAAATAACGCGAAGTTCTCTCGTATAAGTAAACCCGTAAGCCTCGCTTTTTGCCTCTTGAGAAAAGAGTATATATACCAATCGATCGACTATATACTCGCAATCAGCAGAGAGAAATCCACAATTGTCATTTCCGGCGACAACATTTTTCCATATAGATATATATGTATGTATATTTAACAAAAGAAAGAGAGAAGAAGATGCGATTAATAAACACTCGACACTATAGAGAAAACTTAATTGTTACATTTGCATATAGAAGAAGTGGATTCAATTTTTTTTTCTCCGTTTATTCAGATTTCGTTCATTATTTATCAAAATAGTTGATTGCAATTAAATTTGCAATCTTATTATTTGCAGTCTTATTATTTTTCCCGAAGTGAATATATGATGAGTACAAACGGAATTAATTAGGACAATTATTACAAGATTAATTTAGTAATGATTCGATTTATTATTTTAATTACTATTATTTTAACTAGCAACAAATTCGCGCGCTAAAGCGAATAAAATTTTGGATTAAAATAAAATATAAATAAAATAAAATAAAATAAAATTTTTGAATAAAATCAGCAACTTTAAAAATAATAGAATTTAAAAATTTGTTATTCAAATTTTTGTTGAAAACACTAAAAAAATTCAATTTTGGAAAAATTGCAAATAATTGTAGAAATTCAATTATTATCCTAAATTAAATAAATTATCCTAAAAATAAGTTTTCAATGGGAAATTTTCGTAGATAATTATTTTAATTTCCTTATGATTAAAATATTTTTCTAAAATAATTTATCAATGGAAAATTTTTGTAATTTTTAAAATTTCCTTGTTAATTAAAAATTATCCTAAATGAATATTTCAATGGAAATTTTTTTTAAAAATTACTTGAATTGCAATTAAAAAATAGTCTCTAAAATAATTCATAAATGGAAATTTTTTATGATTTTTACAAATTTTTTTACTTAAAATTTTTTTCAGTTACAAATATTTATATTTAACTAGCAAGAATTCGCGCGCTGCTAAATTTTTAGTGTAAAATTAGCAATTTTAAAAAGTAATAGAATTTAAAAATTTGTAATTCAAATTTTTTTTTGAAAACACTAAAAAAAATTCAATTTTGGAAAAATTAGAAATTAATTGCGGAAATTCAATTATTTTCAAGAGTGATAAAATTCTTCTCATAAAATTCAATTATCTTTCAAATTTCAAAAAAAAAAAAAAAAATTCTCGTCAAAATCCCAATTATTTGTATAAAATAAAAAAATTCTTCCCCAAAGTTCAATTATTTTCAAATAAATTTCAAATTCCCAAAAATAGTACGCAAACATTTAATTATTTTCATAAAAAAATTTCTCAGGAATTCAATTATTTACAAATTTTTTTTTATAAATTCCTTTGTAATAATTCAATTATTTTTATAAATAATAAATTTTCTTTAAGGAATTAAATTATTTTCGTAAAAAATAGCAATAATTCAATTCTTTTTATTAATAATAAATTTTATTTTTAAGGAATTCAATTATTTCCATAAAAAAAGAATTAAAAATTGTAGAAAATAATAATTTGAAATGATGAAAATAATTTTAAAAAAGTTACTGTAATAATATTCTTAAAATATAAAACAATGATTTTATCACTTTGGTCATTTTTAATTACTATAAAACATTCTTATAAGTTATTGAATTTAAAAATATTTGAATTTGAATGTTTTGAAAATTTTTAATTCCTACGGAAAAATAATATTGAAATATTTATTTAAAAAAAATTATTGATATTTTCAAATAATTTTCTAATTAAAGAAATTCGTAAATAAATGTAACAGAACATTTTTTTGAGTAAAATTTTTTCCTCTATTTTCTAAAAATTTAAAAAGTTTCAATTTCATTTTCAATTAGAATTTATAATTGACAAATAGAATAGAATATGTGGGTAATGTTTCTTTTCCAAAAGAAAATAATTGAGTTTCTGAACAATATAATTGTTATTGAGAATTATAAATTATGTATAAAATATCCCCTATTTCTTAATTATAATTTTTTAAAAATTAACAATTTTCTATTTTTTATAAATAGAAAGGAGAAAAATTTGCATAATAATTTAATTCCAATTAATTGATTTGATCGTAACTGAAAATACTTTTAACCAAAAATAGTTGTAACTGAAAATATTTATAAACATAAAAATAGTTGTAACTGAAAGTATTTATAAACTAAAAATGTTTGTTACTAAAAATAGTTGTAACTAAAAATATTTATAACTAAAAATATTTATAACTAAAATTATTAATGACTAAATCCATTCGTAACTGAAAATATATTTAAATCAAAATATAATAAATATAATAAAATCAAAATAGTCGCAACTGAAAATATTTGTGAATAAAAAAATTATCACGCAAAAATATTTATACTTTATTTGCAGTAAAAAAAATTCTATTTAGTAAAATACTAGACAATGGAAAATAACGATTAAGTTTGATTATTATTATAAAGGAAAAAAAAAATATTTCCGTGATTTTTATTTTCTAAAAGGAAAGTATTTTCGTGTCTACGGATTTTTCTGGATAGTGTGCAGTTGTTCAGGATACTGAGTTGACCTTTGGCAACCTTTGCTTCGCAGAGGCCGCCATATAACGTATATAAATAATAGAGGGAAGCTGGAGCAAGAGATGATACAGAGTTCCCCGGGGATTTTAAATCCAATGAATTTTAATTTCTAAACACTTTTTAATAGTTGATTCAAAATGGAAAATGAGACGACGAGATATGGATTTTTGTTATATTTAAAGAAGTAATTAAGATGTTCATTTTATACTCATAATGAAATTCAAGACAAAATATCGATAATTAATAGATATTCAGATTTTGAAAATGTTTTAATTATTTTAATTTCCTTATTTCTTTTTTATTATTTTAAATTCCTTATTATTTCAAAAATTAACTCGAAAGAATTTTTCCAAGCGAAAATTTTACTAATTATTTTTAATTTCTATGTAATTAAAAATTTATTCGAAAATAATTTTTCAAAGAGAAATTTTTATAAATTTTTTAATTTTCTTCTAATAAAAAAAATTATTCTAAAATAATATTTCAATGGAAATTTTGTTATAAAATTAAAATTATTTTTATATTATTTATATTTATTCTTTGGTGCTAAAGAGTAAAGTTTTCAGGGAGTTGGAGAGGGGGTGGGACGGGGGGGGGGTTTAAGCTGTTTGTTACGGTCAGCAGAAATAATTTTAAACCTTTGCTTCTTCTTTAATTAATTTTTTTTAACCTTTGTGTGTCTCTTTTTTTGTTTGCAGGAAGAGGAAGGAAAAAAAAAATTTTTTTTCCCTAACTGCACAGTGTGTTCAATATAACAAAGTTTTGAGAGAAATCGCAGGCAACCAGACGAGCAGGCAAGCCAGTAAAGTCAACTACCTGTGGATACCACTTCAGGCAACCCGTAATACTCTTCTGCGATCGTGTAACCAACCGCTTGTCCCGCAGGAGTCACAGAAATGGTATGTAATTATTTCTTTCATAATTATATACACTGACACAGATATAGAAATGTGTGAGAGAGAGAGAGAGAGAGAAAAAATAGAGAGAGAGAAAAAAAAAGAAAGAGAGAAAAATAGAGAGACAGTTAGAAATAAAGAGACTATTAAATACAAAACGCGTTCGCCACTCGCAAAGGTAAAAATTATGTCAGAGTAAATGGAACATTTTTATTTAAAACTGCAAAAGCGCTTTATCACAATATACATTTTCTTTTCTGTTTCGAAATTCCCTCGAGTTATATTCTCGTCAAATTTAATGTGTCTTGCGAGCGAAAATTCCTTTAACTCCTTTGGGTAAATTTCGACAATTTCTATATGGATTTTTTTTATTTTTCATTAAATTTGCAAATTAAAATTGTAGTCGACAGTAAAATTGATTAGTCTGACCAAAAATGATTTTCACTACTTACGGAATTGAAATTTTTGATAAAAATTAAATTTTTTTAACATTTAAGTTAGGTCTGACTACAATCTCGTTTTACTACTGATTAATTCTGTTAAACAATTAATTTTAGTCTGACTTAAAATTTCTGTTACTACTTATTTTTAAATTTATGAGTTTTTCTCCAAGTAACTTTACTTTTCCACTAATTTCAAAAATTACGACTTTGTCGGACTTAAAATTTCTATTAGTACTGATTTAAAATATTTAAAATTTGAACTAACTTGAATTTTTTTCCTAGTGTTAAAAACCTTTTTTTTTAAATTGTGTCTGACTAAAATAGTCCATTACTACTGACGCAGAAATTTACAAATTTAAATTTGTCTTTTGCTACTCAGACGAAAAGAAATTTAAAAGACGGAAAAATTCCGTCTGACTATAAAATTGACTGTTACTACTTAAACAATAAAATCAAACAGAAAAAATTCGTCTGACTAAAAATGTCTGGCACTACTGAAACGAAAAATTTAGTCTGACTAAAAATGACTTCTACTACTGAATCGAAATTTTTAAATCGTACAATTTAATTTGACTAAAAATTGCTTCTACTACTGAAACGAAAAATTTAAATCGAAAAAATTAGTCTGACTAAAAATGTCTCCTACTACTGAAACAAAAAAAAAATTAACCTTTAAAATTGAGTCTTAAAATTAATTCGCCGAAAATTAATTCCAAACAATAATGAATTAAAATTTTTTTCTATTTCTAAAGAAAAAAATCTAAAAAAAAAAATTAACAATAACATTGTCTGTATATTGGATTAGCCGCACTGTTTTTATATGCATATAATTCGAACTATGTGACGTCATCAAACAGTGACGTAATTCCGTTAAAGAAATGTGCTGAGAGAAAATGTTTCTCTCTTAATTTTCTTGGATTACCGTAGACCCTTCTTTTCTTTGCATTTAAATGTTTCTATTCAAGTCTAATGACGCTGAGAATTTAAGTAGACAATTTGCTTTGCTACGATGGTTAAAGAGAATTGACTTTTTATGAATTAAAAAAAAAGAGCGAGAGAAAGAACCAAACACAATAATTTATACGTCATTTTATTTTTGCAATTGTGACAAAATAATTGTTGTAAAAACTAATTGAAAATACCATAAATTTTTAATTAATATTTAAAACCATAAGTATAGTTTAATTATTATGGCAATTATTAATTAATATGTGAAAGAATTAATATGGTGGTAATTTTTAATTACCACTGAGATAGTTATAAATAATAGTAATTACTATCACTGGTAGTTACAATAATTGGTAGTTACAACTAGTGATAGTAATAATTAATAGTAATTACTATCACTGACACTTATAATAATTGGGAGTCACAACTAGTGATAGTAATAATTAATAGTAATTACTATCACTGATAGTTACAATTAGAGATAATAATTATTAATAGTATTTTCTATCGCTGATAGTTACAATTAATATAGTAGTTGCAATAATGGTTAATTATAATTAATGATAGTAATGATTAATAGTAATAACTATCGCTGGTAGTTACAATAATTGTTAATTTCAACTAGTGACAGTAATAATTAATAGTAATAACTATCGCTGGTAGTTACAGAAATTTTAAATAACCACCAACGATAGTTACGAATAATAGTAATTGCTATCACTGGCAGTTACAACTAGTGATAGTAATAATTAATAGTAATTACAATCACTGGTAGTTGCAAAAATTGTTAATTTCAACTATAGTGATAGTAATAATTAATAATAATAACTATCTCTGGTAGTTGCAATAATTTTGAATTACCACCAATGATAGTGACAAATGATAGTTACAAATAATAGTAATTACTATCAAATTCCGGTCAATAATATAGTAAATAAAAATAGTGTAAAATGGTAAATTAAAAAAAATGAAAAACAGAAAATAAAAAAGTACTATAAAATAGACAATAAAAAAATAGTGAATAGTAAATAAAAAATACAGTAAAATTGTAAATAAAAAATACAATAAAATAGTAAATAAAAAGTAGAATAAAATAGTAAATAAAAAGACAGTAAAATAGTAAATAAAAAATACAATAAAATAGTAAATAAAAAGTAGAATAAAATAGTAAATAAAAAGACAGTAAAATAGTAAATAAAATGACAGTAAAATAGTAAATAAAAATACACTAAAATAGTAAACAAAAAGACACTAAAATAGAAAATAAAAAGACACTAAAATAGTAAATAAAAAGACACTAAAATAGTAAATAAAAAAACACTATAAAATAGTAAATAAAAGACAGTTAAGTACTAGAGAGCTACTATTTTAATTTTAAATGTATCTTGCGAGTGCGACTATCAGAAAAGTGAAAGATTGCAAAATGTCAAAGAAAACAAAAAAAGAGGGGCAAAGGATGAAGAAGAAGAAGAAGAAGAAGAAGAAGAAAGTTTAAAGATATTATTTTCCGTTAGATTGCAGCAACACCGTGGACCGAAAATTCCCGTGTCCCTTGAGAATCACGTCGCTTTCTCTCGCGCGCGCACGCCGCGTATAACGTCAGCCAAGCTAATTTCATCTCGTGCTCTCGTATAATCTCCCCCAGGGAATTTATCCGAATCGGGGACCAAAATCAGACACACAGGGGCGCCATAAATTATTTCTCAACATTACTCCTTGTTGCTTCCTATGAGAAATTGTTACAAGAATATAGTCTATTTTATTCCATCGTTAAATTACCTGTACGCGTGGCTTTCAACTTTTTCCGTTCAATCTAAAATTTATTATTTTTTTTTAAAGTTGATTTATTAATTGTTTATAATAGTAGTTTAGTAGTTATTGTCACTGATTGCTTTTACTATTCTGGTCGTTTAATTACTATAAGTTTGTAGTTACTGGTAATTTTAATTGTCTGTATTTTTAATTACAGGTAGTTTTCATTACTTGTAGTTCCAATGAACTGTAGTTTTCATTACTAGTAGTTTCGACTTCCTGTAATTTTAATCACTAGTAGTTACTATTTCCTGTAGTTTTAATTAATAGTAGTTTCAATTTCCTGTTGTTTCAATCTCAAATAGTTTTAATAAACAGTCATTTTGAATTTTTAATTATTACCGGTATTTTTAATTACGGGAGTTTTAATTACTAGTAGTTTTAATTTATGGTAGTTTTAATTATTGGTAATTTTAATTATTGGTAATTTTAGTTATTGGTAATTTTAATTACTGGTAATTTTAATTACTGGTAATTTTAATTACTGGTAATTTTAATTACTGGTAATTTTAATTATTGGTAATTTTAATAATTGGTAATTTTAATTACTAGTATTTTTAGTTATTCGTAGTTTTGATTTTTGGTATTTTAAATTACTAGTATTTTTAATGATTTGAGTTCCAATTATTTTTGGTTTGGCTTTTTGAAATTTAAATCACTAATATTTTCAATAACAGGTAGTTTCATTCTACAGGTATATAACAGGTATTTTTATTCTGAAACATTTTTAATACTTGTGGTCTTAATAACTACCAGTATTTTTATTAACTAGTAATTTTAATTATTCGTAGTTTTGATTTTTGGTAATTAAAGTTAAAACTTGTTTAAATTGCTACTACTTTTAATTACTTGTAATTTTTATTAACAGGAATTTTGATTTTTGGTAATTTAAATTATTAGTAGTTTTAATTATTTGTAATTTTTATTACTAGTAGTTTTAATTATTGGTAATTTGAATTACTAGTAGTTTTACTTACTTGTAATATTTATTACTAGTAGTTTTAATTAATGGTGGTTTTGACTTGCGGTAATTTTCAATACTAGTAATTTAATTACTAGTAGTATAATAATCATTTACATTTTTGATTATTGGTAGTTTTAATTTTTGGCATTTTTAAATACTAGTAGTTTTAATTACTGTCAGTTTCATTTATTTGTATTTTAAATCGCAAATAGTTTAATATACTTGTAGTTTTAATTATTACAAATATTGTTATTTACTGGTAATTTTAATTACTGGTAGTATTGATTTTTGGTATGTTAATTATTAGTAAATTATATTGATAGTAGTTTTAATTACTTGTAATTTTAATTACTAGTAGTTTTGATTTTTGATTTAAAATAATTTAATAATTATTTTAATTAATTTAAATTAATTTAAATTTAAATTAATAATCGTTTAAATAATTGATATTTTTATTTTTTAATAACTGGTAGTTTTGCTATTTGGTCATTTAAATTACTAGTAGTTTTAATTACTGGTAGTTTCATTTATTTGCAATTTAAATTAATTGTAGTTTTTATTTTTGGTAATTTAAATTAATAATAGTTTTAATAATTGATATTTCTAATAACTGGTAGTTTTGATATTAGGTCATTGAAATTACTAGTAGTTTTGATATTAGGTCATTGAAATTACTAGTAGTTTTAATCACAGGTAGTTTCATTTATTTGCAATTTAAATTAATTGTAGTTTTTATTTTTGGTAATTTAAATTGATAGCAGTTTTATATACTTGTAATTTGTATTACTGGTAGTTTTTATTTTTAGTACTTTAAATTATTAGTCGTTTTAATTATTGGTAGTTTCATTTATTTGTATTTTAAATTTCAAATAATTTTAAATATTTGTATATTTGTAATGATTACAAG